CAATAAGCGCATTGGGGCATATGATTACGCTTGGGCCTGCTGCTTGCTGCTTGCTGCCGCCTCACATGTGACGATACTCTCATGCCGCGTCATGCCCTGCCCACTTCTCAATTGAATCGATTGCTGTGTGTACTTTTCTCGAGTGCCATACAATTATGGCATTTTTCCATTGAAATCGGCTAAAGGGAAGTGGCACTGCTGGAGGGAAGGCCCATTAATTTAGGCAAACAAGCTTAGCCTTTGGGCGTGCCTACGCCCACACCATACAATTAATTAGCATCAAGAATGAGGAGGAGCACGTCGTGAATCGGGCAGGGAATGAGCAGAAACAGCACTTCGTGAATCAAGCTGGGAATGAGGCACATCAGCAGGGGCATGCATCAAGCAGGGAATGAAGAAAAATAACGGCCCGCTTGTGGCTGGAATGGGAAATGAAATATGCGGCCTGGGCACGCTACGCTGCCAAACAAACTGACGGCATCCTGACCGACTGCTGCAGCAATGAACTTTGACACAAAGTGTCAACTGTACTGTTCCACGTTGCCACGGCAGCGATCTGGGGCTGCCACTCTCACTGAAATGCCGTACAAGAAAATCTACTTAGCGAAACTCCAGCGGAAGACAGCAGTAGACGGCAGGAGAGGAGTCGCCAATTAGGCAGGCAGGCAGCTGGGGATTGCAAGGATGCGCAGGAGGAGCCTCGCCTCGCTTCGCCTCGACTGTGCTTAAAACTGTCACCTGGCTGCTCTGTCTGACGCTGATTGTTAAATGAAGTTGGCAGCGTGCCCCAAAAAAACACTACACTATATAGAGGAGGGAGGTGCGGGAGCCAATGAGGCAATGACGTGGCAAATGTCGCGCTCCAAGGAGCCGCTCCAAGTGCTGTGGCACCTCTTTAAGCAGCGAATATTTAAAGCCTAAGCATAATTGAAACTAAAGAAAGGATCAGATGGGCGGGGAAGGAGCAGCAGCAGCAGCAGCAGCAGCAGCTGTTTGTCATTTCGTATTTGTATAGCGCTTCGAGCGGGATCCATCCACATGCACGAGCGCCTAAAAGTACACACCACATTGATATACTAGATTACGTGCAACACTGTGGGGCACCGGAAAAAGGGGGCGTCGACCGGGAGTGATGTATCTCACTGTGGGCTGTGGGTGCTGGGCGGTGAACGGTGAACGGCGAACGGTGGGTGTGCGTGCGCCAAAGTTTTTCCAAACCAGCAACACGAAAAATACAGACAGAGAGAGAGGTAGAGAGAGGGAGAGAGTAGGAAATATAAGAAATAACACTTGACATTGACAAATTAGTTGCAGAAGACAACGGGAACAGCACTCGCTCTGCTCTGCTCTGCACTGCGCTGCTCTACCCACGCTCCCCGTCTCCTTTCATCCACTCTGTGGTTGGGTGGTGCGGTGCTGTGCTGTGCTGGCACAGTGGTTTCGCTGGAGCGACAGCTGTGTGGAGCAGCACTGGGAGAGGATGGAGAGAGGTTAAAAATAATAAAATACCTACTGACATGATAGACATGAAAGACTTTTCTTTTTTATTTAGCTTAGATTGGAAAAGTTTCGACAGTCCAGTGGGGGCAGGCCGGCAGGCAGGGGGCGGCGCGCGTATCTGACTTTGCGGCACTTGCACTTAAGTAGCTCTGCGGCATGTGGCATGGGGCAGCAGCAGCAGCAGCAGCAGCAGCAGCTGAGATTGGGAGCCACTGAATAATGTCCAGCTTTGCAGCAGCTGTCCCAGTGCCAGTGCCAGTGCCTGTGCCAGTGCCACCACGAACATGTGTAGCTAATGCTGCTTATTATATAACTTTCCCTTCATTCCACTAACCCACTATATCCTCAACCATCGCTCTTCCGCTAGCCCCCCTGCACATCCTCTCCACCCACACGATGTGGGTCATGGCTATGAGAGGAGCCGCAACCGAGCGCTGCATGGAAGGAGGACACAAATTTCACAAAATTTATTGCATAGTTGCAGGCGCAGGAGTAGTTAAAGTAAATCTGAACATAAACTCCCACAGAGGAGCAACACAGTAGCATGAGTGGGAGGGGGATGGGGGAGGGGGCGGCGCTTGCATTAAACTTTTGCCTAATGAGTTATATGGAAGCCCAGGCTGGAGAGGGATAGGGGGGCACAAACTTAAGGACCGAGGAATGGAAAACAATTATAAGCGCGCCAAAAAGTATGCAAGTAATTTTTTACAAGCGCCTCTGCCATTGCCACTGCCTCTCCCACTACATTACTTACAGCCAAGAGAGGGCGAACGGGGAGGACACCCCGATGAAACTTTTGCCGTGTCTTGCGACTGACAAACTTTTGTGTTGCTTTCAATTTATTTTGCAAGTTCTTTCGACTTTTTTCTGCTTTATTTGCCATCATTCCATTCTACGAGGCGACCTACCCTTGGCATCTTTCGAGTTATGCAACAAATAAATCACGCGAATTCCATGAAATGAGCAACGGAACCCCAAAAAAAGCCCCACTCTACCCACTCTACCGACTCTCCCGGCTGTCCATCAGAAGCTAAGCCCCCGCTCAATGTATGCTAAACTTTCGACAAGTTGACCAACTCGAGTATATCCCCTGAATCTGTGCGAGTGCTGGCCCCGCTGATTATTATTTACGAGTATTTCAATTTGCGAGTTTTCTTCTTCGAGAGCTGCCACGGCCACAGAGTGGAGAGCCAAAGCCATAAGCGCATTACTCGGACACTTCTTTGCAAAAACAAAAACCCAACAAAAAATTGTTTTAAAAATATTTTATCATAAAAGAAATTTGGAAATTTGAATGCCAAACTTTACAATTTGATGCGAAGCGAAGTGAGGCGGGTGCGCTTGAGGGCGCTTTTAGGCGATTTTTGACATACTTTTAACCCAGCTTCAAGTTTATTAAAATCGGAGCCAGACTTCTCTAATTTATCAGCAATTCTCAGCATTTCTCCTTTTCCATTCTCTCGCTCTCTTTCGCTATCCACCACCACTCTTTCGCTGATGGCCTCCTAAGTGCGGCACTTCATTTGCATTTAAAATGCTTTCGCCTGCTCAGTTCTCAGTTCTCTTCCCTACACTTGCCAGGGATTCAACTGCTGCCCATTCATTTGGCACATGGCTCATTGTGTTGCTTGGTCCAGGAGTTTCAGGAGTTCCACGAGTGGGTCAAGCGTTTATTTGTTCGGATTGTGGTTCTGGCTGTGGCTTGGGCTGCTATTTCGCACTCATTGGACCCGCTGACACACCGCTATTCGATCTGGCTGACGGCTGTCTGCCATTTCCTTCAAATTAAATTACCTTGAATATCTCTCCTCTTCTCTGCTCCAAAGTGGGAAATAAAATGCTACGCATTCAAATGATTTTGCAGGTCCAAAAACTCAGGGAAAAAACGAGGCATTAAGGCATTAAGATAAAAGCGGTAAAAGGACCCTTTAATTTATGGAGAGTCCTTCTTCTTTTGGGTATTTCTCTGGCATAAAAATACATTTAGGAAAAAACATATTCGGGTGCGTGGCACATCGTAAATTAAACGCTAATTGCAGCTTTGAAGATTATGTATAAAAAGGAGGTGGGCGGAAGGGGAAACGGGAGATTCCGGCATATTACAAATTAATTTAAATTTTTTAATTTATTTCCCACTTAAGAGGGGCCACTGCCACTGTCCACTGTCCACGTGTCCAATCTCAAGTGGAAATTAACTTGCTGCCAGGTCGCTTGAGGCGAGGTCGAAAGAAGATGCCACACAACAACTGGGGACTGGGGACTGGGGTAATCGACTAGCGGATACCCTGTGCAGAAGCTGGGTGCCTGGGATGAGCTCGAGGGGCCATGACCTCCGGCCACATCCGGCTCTTCAGCTCCAGCTCTCGATCCCGTTCCCGCTAGTGCCAGACGAAAAGTTTTTCTGTGCAGCAACTTTGACACTTTCCAAAATTAATTACTTTAAAGCAAACCTCCCCCTACGCCCTGCTGCTGCTGCCGCTGCCGCTGCCCCACCCCTCAGTGTTTGAGCCAAAATTAAATAATAAATTATTATTTCTGTGCGAGCCAATGAAGTGTGGCAAATTTAATGGGGCGCCGCCACGGCCCATAGTTCAGGGCTAGTGCTCCACTTCAAAGTAATTGCCAAGGACTACCGCCAGTGTACTGGCCCTGCCCCACCCCACCCCACCCACCGAATTGTGTCCTGGTATCCTGTTCTCCTGTCTGGACTCTACGCCCCATACGAGCGTGGGGCATACAACACAAAATACAAAACAAGAATAAATAAATTATAATAAATGACTTTAATCTTTCAGCATAATTTCAGTTCAGGGCAATTATTGACGCCCGGCTGAGTTGGCAGTTAAGGCAGAGCAGAGTCGCCTTAAATTAGATTTTCCCATTTTCCATTTTGTTTTTATTTTTTTTTACTTTTACGTTTTTTCCCCATTTAAGATTTATCAGAGCGCGCGTCGTCGAGCCACGAATACTTGGAGTGAAGTGGCGCAACAACAAAATGAGAATTTCTAGCGAATTGTGTCCCCCATTTTACAGCGAAGTGCATGGCGAAAATTATTTGGAATACCCTAGCTAGAAAGAGGGTATTATGATTTGTGTCAAGTGTTCGCCAAAAGAATTGAGAGTCTCTGCAACATGTCTTAAGCACCCATCGAAGAGTCGATGTGGCTATGTCCCACCGAACCCATTTCTACCTTTTGCATATCTGTTCTCTTCTTTTTTTATGAAAATTAGTCCCCTAGAACTTTCCGCGGATTGGATCTGATTGGATTGAATTGTTTATCTCAAATCAATATATGTATAATGTTGCTATCGTTGGAAATAACGTTTCAGAGACTGCAGCTTCCTCTCTTTACTTTCATAAATCCTGTATAGAAAACATAGATATTTGAGAGTAACAAAAACTTCGTTTCAAGTACTTTTCTTCAATAGGTCCAATGACTGTGTCCCAGACCAGACTTTACGATAGACTGCACAGCAGAGCAGACATAGAGGAAACTTACCAGAAACTGTCAACTTATCCCACAAACTCGTAGATCTCTCCGTACCTCTAACAGAGTCAGACCACTCTTCTCATCAGTCAGAGACGAGACCTCTTCCTCATTCCATATCTCTGTCTATCTTCATATAACACCTGGCTTACCTGTAAGCAGAAAGGAAATGCATTTAAGTTAGTGAGAAGAGCAGAGCTAGGGTTAACACGACACAAAAGAGGCAGCCAAATGAGAATTGATTGTAGGCCCAGAATCAAGACAGAAGCCACTCCCCACACTCCATCAAGGACAATCCCATTAGATGTATGTGTGTGTGTGTGCTGTGTGCTGTGTGTGGAATAAAAATCGGCTTACAGCCCAATAAGAATCAACACAAAATGTGTCAACACCTTTATGCTGCCACACCCGAAAGAACAGCCCCAAAAAATATATACCATCTTCATCCTATCCGCCCATATGTGGCAATGTTTTGCCTTTCCTTCAATTTGCTTGCTTGCTGCTTCTGCTATTTGTTGCTGTTGCTCCTTCTCCCTGTTTTGGTTGCGTGTCTTTGCATTTAGGGACAACATGTTTTCCAATGCCTCAGAGACGCAGATTTTTGCACACGCAGTGAGTGGAAACAAAAATCTATATTCATACAAGGAGCTACATCCATAGTATAAGAATGAGGGACGTACGTCCCACTGTTCACATAAGCAAACTATGAGGTGAAAGGTGCCATCAAAACATATAAATACCCTAAAGATTTCAGCGGAAGTTTTATATTTAAACCAATAAAGACACAAGGGAGAATACTGCAGAATATTTTAGATTTGGTAAAGAAAGAGATATTCAGGAAATATTCCCTTTTTGTTTGAGAGATTTAAACAGACCTTTCTCTGCCTTAGTTTAACATAGTAGCCCCATAAAGAAGGGTATCCCATCCTTCAGAAGGGTATCCCCTTTCAGCAGTGGCGTTCCGCTGTGGCAAGAACAAGTCATCTGTGTAAGCTTCAACTCTCAACCCTTCGCCTGCCACTTTTGCCAGTGCCAAAGGTATTTGCATTTAGTGGAAAGGAAACTGTGTGCGTGTGTGCGTGCGTGTGTTTGTGCGTCTAAAAAAAGGTTGCCCTTTTGTGCCACATCGACATCAATAAGTTGGTGGCGCCTCCAAGGGGCAGCAGCAGGTAGCGAGAGCTTAATCTAGCGACTGTCATAATTTGACGCACGCACGAATACATACACATACACATACATTTGTGTGCGGCAGTGTGTGCGGGTGTGCGCCTGGGCACAGTGAGGCATGAAATTTTTGTTGCCAGATTCGCTTCGGCTCCTTCGCTCAACAGAGCTACACAAAAGCGTCAAGCATTCAGTCATCCTTTTCGACCCCACACAATGTCAATGTCAACTCATCTTGGGTGTACCACCCCAAGCATTCACTCGCTCCTACCCCACCACCTACACACCCTTCACCCTGCTAAGACCTCTTTTCAAGGTGTTGGCCCTCTTTTTATCGCTGCTCACTTTTTTTCTGCGTGTGTATTTTCCTGTGTTTTTCGTCCTTTGTTCGCTGTTCTGGCTGACGATTTGCGTAATTTTCAGGTTCATTTAGCGTTTAATGCTTGTAAGGAAATTTTAATTTTATGGCCAACAGCCAACGGCGGCTAAAAAGCGGCCAAAAGCGGCTATAAGCAAAAGCCACAGCAGCAGCAGCAGCAGCTGAAAAAAATGAAGCCGCAGCCGGAAGCCAGAAATCCAGGAACCAGAAAGGTGAAAACAAATTTCATAAAGGATTATGCCCGCTTCACTGGAGCTTTATGTGTATGGATAAGAAGGAGAGAAGAGTGCTGAGGCTTTCTGCATTTAAGAAAAGATTGTTCTGGCGATTGTTCCCAGGGAGGTTCTCTCTCTCACTCTCACTATCTCTTTCTCTTTTCTCTAGAGCTCTCTCTCTCTCTCTCTAAACTCTCTCCCACTCTCCCTTTTCTTTGTGTGTGGGTGGTGGTGGGTGGTGGGGGGGTTAAAGTTCCGTGTCAAGTTGACAAATTATTTTGGTAAATATTTGCGTGATTTTGATAATGATGTTGCTTTTGGTCGGTCTCCTACGCTTCGGTTCAGTTTCAGTTTCGGTTTCTGGTTACTGGTTTCCTCTCTCTCTCTCTCTCTCTCTTTCTGTCTCTCTTTCTACGTTCAACATTCACCACGGAATTGTTGCGGTCTCTGTGGTTCTTCTCGCGTGCCGCTACAGCACACACATACATACATATATGTAGCATATACGCGTATGTATACAACACATAGCCATGTGCGTTTGTGGCACTGGAAAGCGGGCGAGCAGTCAACCCAAACACTATTAATTAGCTGATAGTCAGAGGAGGAAATGGGTTGGAGAGATAGGAGTCGCTCCTCACATATTGAATATTAATTACACTTTCCCTAAGCAAAACACCCCCCTGGAATTACGCTGCAGCAACACCCTGGAACCCCCCATGGTATCCCACTCCAGGGCCTAAACCTAACCCTCTCGTGGCATTCAAAAGCTAATTAAGCGACCATTGACAATGACAACAGCCAAATGTAAGCAACGCAAAACACTTTAATACAGAAAACACTGTGGGGCAATCTTAACGCTTGAATCTCTATCTATAGTAGATACGATATTATTCAAGGGTCTCTGTGCACCACCCTATACGTATGTGTGGGATTCGCCTGCCTCTCGCTGTACGAGTGTGCGGCAGTGTGCGGTGTAATTAGCACCTGGCTGCCTGCCACAGGACTGTGTCTATGGATTAGCGCTGCCCACAAATCGATTTCGAATTGTGCGATAATTGACTGCGACACTAGAAAAATAAGAGAAAGGACACAAACACTCGAAACAGGTAGATTATGGTATGGCGGTGTTATGGGGGTGATACATGATGACTTTACACTGCTCACACCTCTAGATGAGGTTCCATGGAAAACTCTAACTTAAGCTGAAGCGAGCAAAGGAAAAGCTATGGTATATGGAAATTTTACGAAGCTATGGCTTATGCATAACAGCTAAAGAAACTCTCACTTGCATCAGTTTAAAGAAGGTAAAAGGTATACATATGTCTGAATACTATCAGATGGTATGGCTGATGGTTTTCCCATTGGAACCAGATTGGAGTATCACCCACAGGGCGCTCTTACATGGCTGTCAACTGATTGTTGCCCTACCAAGACTAGCTAAAGGCTTATCCACCGCACGTATCTCAATCAGCTAAAGCCATGTGCATAGGCGACCTATACGTAGCTCCAACATATCCATGACCGTGACACAATGGAGCCCCTGACACTCGACCCCCGTTCATTAGATACAACAACAACAACACCAACACCAAAACACTTTCTAATGAAGTTTTTCGAAAACAATTCTACAGAAAATCAAAATCTGAATACGAATGCATAGATGGTGGTAGATGGTTCGTGGTAGGTGGGTGAAAAAAGAAAGAAACAGGTAAATTACGTGGCCATAGACCATAAACCCGCAGACAGAGAAGGGTGTAAAGAGAGAGGGAGAGAGAGCCAGAGAGAGAGATGAACAATGGCGAAAACTGTTAGCCAGCCATGACGATGACAACGAGACAGAGCCAGAAGCAGAAGCAGACACACGAACAGCCAGACGTACGGATAGATAGCTATTGCCAGAGGAACGGACAGTCGGACGTACGGACAGACGGTTAGACGAATGCAAAATTGAATGCAACCTCAAAAACGGAACGAAGGGCGTACCACAATTTGGCAGGGGCAAAACTTTTGAGCGACCTTACGTAGATATAATTTTTGTGGAAAGTAATATAAAAGGCAAAAGTGCAAATTCTCGACTCTGACTCTGACTCTGTGTCTGACTCTGACGCTCTTCTCCCTGCGATAATGATGACTCTGGCGAAGCTTTTTGGAAATTAAAATTGCATAAATTATGCAAAAATGTTTGAAAACTCTCCCCCCTGATGTTGCAGCTGCCACAGGTCACTCCTCTTCCTAGTAGATGAGATGAGCTGAGTCGAGAGGATGAGGATGAGAATGATGATGATGATGATGCGGGTAAATCACTTTGATTGGCCTTCAAGTGGGGTCCCCCGCAGGGACTGCATTATTTTCACAACCAAGAAGCAGTCAGGCGCCCCAAAAGAGAGGAGAGGGGACGGGGACTGGACGAGAGAGTCGAATCGTTGATTCATCTCCCATACTCATACGATATACGATTTCAAGGGAGTGGAGGAGTCCGGTTCCAGTCATCGATATTCATGCCTCCTGCCTCTATATTCTGTTGCTTTTGCGCTGTCCAGAAACTCCAAGGAGGAGCGCCTCTTTTCGCTGAATTGATAATGGACCAGAGCGCGCAGCTTCCTCGACAGATTCCCCTCGAGGGCATTAATTATTTATAGACACAGTCAATTGTTTGTTTCATACTCTACCTGCCTCCCTCTCTCTCTGCCACACTCTCTCTCTCTCTTTCCCTCTCTATGAACATCAACGTTTTCGTTTCGTTTGGCAATTGTTTGGCCAATTACGTTGCCCAGACATGACTCAACCTTTGGTCAACTACCTGAACCATAGATGCCCTGCGTTGCACCTGTTGTTATCATTGGAAAGAGAGAGAGAGTGGGGGGGGCACAACATTAAATGTGCATTAGTCCCTGTCTGAGGTTTGCTTTTTGTCCCTTTGTTTGCTCTTTTCCAATCTGGTGACTCTGGCCGTACTTCCATACAGATACGGAGAGGTTTCCCCTCCTGCAGATAGAGGGAGTCAGTCACTGGCCTGTGGGCTTATCAGAGGCTCAACCATTTCCTCATATTGTCATTTCCGTTGCACGTGTGCACCATGGAGGCGAAAAGTGCTGCCGAGGCATAAATCTCCCTCATTCTCATATACTCCAGAGAGCGGAGAACCAATCATGACATTCCCACAGGCAGAACAATTAAAAGCATTCAAGAAAACTAATTTTCGCCTGGCAACACACACACACAGCAGTTCCCTGAGCAGTCTCCCAAAAGCAACCTCATCATTCTGACCGTCAATCTGCTCTTTTGTTGGGCTTATGATATCCGATACTCCCCGATGGAGGCGGGATGTGACTCAAGCTGTGAGGCTGAACAGAAAAAACGAAACAGATTTCATTTTTTCATACCCTAAACAAAC